CGCTTTCTATTTCTCCCACTCCAATCATCTCCTCCTACTCATATTCTCTCCATATTATTACTCTTATCGAGTATGTTTCCGATTAATCTGAAGCAAAACTCGAAAATTGTTTATGTTTGTTGCTTTCTTCTTCCACTAGAGATGCATATCTGATTTGGGTTTTTCAAAACCGGATTTTTTGGTGACGATGGTAGTTTTTTTTTTAACAACGTCAATGCAAAGTTCATTCACTGTCATTTTCATTCTCCTACCTGATTAAAACATACCCTAAAAATGGGTTTGAAACTGGGTAGAGGATGATGTTGGTGTGTCATTGGTGAAGATAACCTGTAGTGGATCGTCGGAAAAGATGTTCGAGAGGGAAAAAGTCCTACTTATAAGACACGTGGCAACATTTAATTAGATGTTGAAAAATAAAGTATATTCCTTTAATTTGAAACTGAGAAAAATTTAAATTGACTAAAAAGCCCCTCCCCCCAAGTAAAAAAATAAAGTAAATCACATTCTTGGTCCTTTTGGTTTTAAGTGACTAAAATATCCCTCTAAACTAACTGAGTTAACAAAATAATTTGGATGGAGTTAGAGCTAGAAACCCAATTTGTTGTAAATAAAAAATCATAAGAATGTGATTTACAGATATTTCAAAATAAGGAACTAAAGTGTTCAAACACATAAACGATAGAGACCAATCTTGTAATTTACTCTAAAATAAGATATACCTAGATTAACATGGAGAAAAGTCTAGAAAAAAAAACCCAACAAAATTTTCCATTTTGAATGATTAAGTCCTTAAACGTTTTTTTAATCGATCTAATTTTCAGTGATTAAGTCACTGAACATTTTTTTGAATAAATAAACCACTGAACTTTTAAAAATTTGTTACATGCGTCCTTTTAACCCCTCCAAAAAGGTACTTGTAACCAACTAGAAATGTTTTAAAGTAAAAACAAAACCTAAATCAATTTTTATATTTTCAAACAAGACACCAATGAAACCCCTTGCCGCCTCATCATTGATGTCGGCCAAGACCATCGTTATCCTTCTTTTTATCATTTTTTTTTCTTTTTCGAATTGATGGAATATGCATAAACAGATCAAAAAAAGAGTAAGAATCGGAAAATAAAAAATAAAAGAAGATTGATGGCAGGGGCAAACGACGATGATGGATTGCAATACAAAGCGGACAACGATGGGACAAGTGGGGTGGTAAGGAGAGGATAATGTTGGATGTGAGAGGTTTGAATGTCGTATGGTTTGAGAATGATAAAACTGATATAGGTGTTTTTTATTTTAAAACATTCATAATCAACTTCTAGAAGTTCGATGGTTTGTTCATTAAAAAAAAGTTCATATTCTTAACCATTCAACATTAGAAAGTTTAATTTTATTAAAACTATTTGTACCTCTTTTAATGTGAAAATCAGGTCAATTCATGCATTAAATGTGTAAAAAGTGAGTTTTGATGTTGATGTGTGTGTGAAGTGATGTTGATGTGTGTGAGAAGGAAACCACTAAATAGGAGTGTATTAAGCAATGTATAACATACTTTTTTTGGAAATTTTCATTAAAATATTCTATAACACCTCACTTTCCACATTTACATATAATCATGTATTTCATATATTAGGAAATACAGTAACACAACTTTGGTCCCAACAGTACAACAAACTATATTACAGAATTTACAACTCAACCCAAAAATAACATTCTTGTACACCATTTGTATAAATAACAAGCATTCCAAAAATTCATCAAATATCATGCTGATCTTCATAGAATAGGTAAGCACAATAGAAAAATAATTCACATTTCCCCTTCCCATTATCCCTAGACATAGTCCAAAAATTCATCAAATATCATGTTGATCTTCATAAAATGAAGGTTAGACCTTGAGGTCTAGCGGAAAATTCCCTTTCTTTGCAATCATAGGGTGAAATCGCCAAAACCTGTTCTAAAATCATATTGAACATCCAACAACTTTAATAAAATATAACTCCAATATTACAACAAATAAGAGTTATAAATAATCCTTACCACACATGGAATACAACCACTCAGGTCTTCATAATCAATCGGTACATAACTCCCAAAGCTCTTAAATCTCATAAAGATCAGAGCTTATAATCTCAACTCTCAAAATCATATAAAGAAATACCATCAACCAAAACTCTTGGTTATTAACTAAAGCTTTTAAAAAAACTATTTTGATACTCAAATGAAAATTGAATTGAATAATAACCAACGACCCTCCCCCCCAAGTTTTTATTTCAAATCTTTACTCTTTTGAACAGTCAAAATATGATATCCGATATCCCAAAAACATTTGTTATTCGAAACATGGGTAATTAATGCCTCTGACTATAAGCCATTTTCCTCTTCTCAATAACATCATTGTTATCATTTCAATAAGAGCAATAATTCCAAGTCTTCATGTCACAAATAAATGTTAATTCTGAATTATCTTATCTTACGGATGTGACAACAAGAGCTAAATGGAACACATATCTCACAATTGCCACCCTTATCCAAAGTACATCTCTCCTTGATATGCCACCCTTATCCCAAGGTACACTTCTCTTTGATATGTCACCCTTATCTCATGATACACTTCTCCTTGATATGTCACCCTTGTTTCCTCATTAAATGCAGATAAATATGATATTTTAGCCAATAATGGCCTAAAAATCATTTTAATTCAGAAACTTTATCTCAAGAACTTTCACAGTTCTAAACCCAATTCCAATATCATCTCAAAAGAGCTTTCAAAAATAGTTTAATCTTCTCAACTGTCTTAAAAGAAACAATACATCCCTCAATTTAAAATCAACATTTGAAAGATACACAATGATAATATTAGTCCTCAACGGACAACACTTGTCCAGACATCAGTTCAGCGGACAAAGCTTGACCGGACATCACTTCACCGGACAACACTTGACCGATGACTGTCATTCATCGGACAACACGTGGGCGATAAACTGCCCTCATCGGCCAATACTATGGCCGATAACTTTCTTGTCGGTTAACACTATAAATGATAACTATCCTCACCGGTCAGCACTTAAAAATAAACATTTAATTCGGACAATGCTTTGTCCGATAAGCACTCTCACCGGACAAAGCGTTGGGCGATGAATCACCCAATCCGGTCAACACTTAAAACAATAAATACTCAATCCGTTTAAATTCTTGAGCGATAAACTACCCAATCCGGACAACACCTTGTCCAATTATAACACCCTAAAAAAAGATAATTTAAACCGAAAATATTTAACGAGAACCAGAATCTAGAATTAAAATTCACCCAACAAAAGGTAATAGTATAGCATTTATAAATCAGCTACTAAGAAGATAAATAACAACCTACTAATCTGGATTATTCTATATCTAGATTAAAGATGGGTGTTTTTATCAATCTCCAAAAATATCGCAACATAAAAAATGCAACGCTCAAAAGTAACAAAGGCTATAACTCCAAAAGAGCCTTTCACGAACCAACGCTCCTCTCAACCCTTTTGAGCCCTGCCGTTAAAGGAACCTGATGTACAAGCCATATCAAGAAGAAGTGTCAGGCTTACGCCTAGTGAGTTCGATTAATAACGTAAATGTAGCTATGAAACCTTTATATATATATGACGTAAGTCTAAACACTATAAGAAAAACAGCTAATTCAAAATATCTCACGGAGGAGCCAAAACATCTGAGGATGACTGGGAGACCCGATTTACCGTTGATTATGACGGACACAAAGTAAGTCACAAATCAACGTTATAGAGCATCACTTATAGGTCTAATACCATCGACATCAACCTAAACCAGTCATGTAGTCGGCCGTGATCTTAATCTCTTTATCTCGGAAATTACACAATAATCGCAATGCCTATTTCCAAGTGGTAGTGAGAGGATGATTTGGAGGTTACACAATAATCACAATGTCTACCGTCAACTTACACCATCCCTCACATAAAAAAAACAACTATCGAATCCATAGATTCACCACATTCTATTCACATTCTTGGATAACTAACGTTGGGCATATATAACATTATTTCAACATCAAGACAATGCGTGAGTCCATCATTAAGGAAGTGTTCCTCTACTACCATTAAAGATCATCGGTTATATGACATAAGAGTACTAGAGTCCCCTAGTATAAAGTACTTTAAATTAAGCATTTTACCAAGCGGTCGTAACCATTTTCCAAAATTCAATCCGTTTAGACCTAGAATAACCTATTCCATCACAATCAGGTCTAAACACAGAGTTGAACCATAGGCTAAATTATCAAATTCACATTAACATGTATGTAACTTTATAGAGGGATAGAATGAACTCACCTTGAAGGATGGGCAACACAGCCGGCTCGATACAGCAGCTCCTGCTGCTGCTGTTTGGTCGAGAAGGTGAAGACAATTGCAGCAGAGCTGCTGCTTGCTGTTCGGAAAGGACACCGCAGCTCTCCTTCTTGTTGTTGTTGCTGTTTGGACTGCCGGAAACGAAGAAAACAGGCAGCAGGCGCTGCTGTAGCTGTTTGGACAATCGAAAAACGAAGAAAACAGGCAGCAGGCACTACTGTTGCTGTTTGGACTGCCGAAAACGAAGAAAACAGGCAGCAGGCGCTGCTGTTGTTGTTTGGACAGTCAGAGAACGAAGAAAAGAGGCAGCAGGCGCTGCTGTTGCTATTTGGACAGTCGGAGAACGAAGAAAAAAGGCAGCAGGCGCTGCTGTTGCTGTTTGGACAGTCGGAAAACGAAGAAAATAGGCAGCAGGCGCTGCTGTTGCTGTTTGGACTGCCGGAAACGAAGAAAACAGGCAGGCGGGGCTGGAGATAGCTCAGGCGGGCAGTGGCTCTTGCAAGAAGGTCGGGACAGAGTTGAATCTTCCTCTCTATACAACCGACTACACCCGGGCTGTTTTTTCCTCTTCCACAGTCGACTGCACAGGGGCTGTTTTGGTTCCCTCTTCACACAGCCGGTTCCACAGGGGCTGTTTTGATTACCTTATTCCTTCCAGCCAAAGAATGCCTCCCTTTCTCCTTTCCTTTCCTTTTTCTTTACCCAAGTACTCTCTCTTTCGCAAGTATTCTCCCTTTTCCCAAGTACTCTCAGGTTTACATGAAAGTCAAGATCCTTCATGGAAAAGGGGATACCTTAAGAGAAAAGGGGATGAGACATAAGAGTAGGTCAAAAGCTGCAAGTACCCTCCCCCCCTCTCTTTATTAAACTCAACACTCCCTAGAATTCAAAGAACCTTCCTCTCTCAATGGACTTTATATAAATTAACCATATAAGTAATTATACATATACTCCTAAATATTTCACAAATGAGGATTTACATATATTTTTATATATATATAAAATATACCTTATATACAGAATAAGTAAATGAGACGCATACCTTATAAAAACCTTCCCCTTATATAAAAATCTAGGTGTTACAATCCTCCCCGCCTTGGATTAAATTTCGTCCTCGAAATTTAAGCTCACGAGAAGAGGTGGGGGTAACGCTTCTTCAAGTCCTCTTCTGCTTCCCAAGTTACGTTTGATCCTCTATGATGCTTCCATTTTACCTTGACCATGACAACCTCTCTGTGCCTCAATACCTTGGTTTTGCTTTCCAAGATGACTTCCGGTTCTTCCACACATTGCTTGTTCTCATCTACACGAATTTCCGAAAGTGGTATCACACTCTCTTCTTCCGCCAGGCACTTACAAAGGTAGCATACATGGAAGGTGTTATGTTCCGACCATTTCTGGTGGTAGTTCTAATTTGTAAGCCTGGAGTCCCACCCTAGCCAAGACTTTAAACGGTCCAAGAAAACAGGGACTTAGCTTCCCACGCTTTCCAAAACGGATAATGCCTTTCCATGGAGACACCTTTAGCATTACGCGGTCGCCCTCTTGAAATTCTATAGGTCGGCTCCTCTTGTCTGCGTAGCTCTTTTGTCGATCCTGAGCTGCTTTTAAACGTTCACGAACACATTTCATCTTATCGGCTGTTTCTTGCACGATCTCGGGACCGGTGAATTGTTTCTCACTCGCTTCTAACCAACATACCAGAGTCCTACATTTTCATCCGTACAAGGCTTCAAAAGATTTCATCCCTATACTGGAATGGTAACTATTGTTGTAGGCGAACTCTACGAGGGGTAGGTGAGAGTCTCAACTCCCGCCAAAGTCGATAACACATGATCTAAGCATGTCTTCGAGGGTTTGAATGGTCCGCTCACTCTGACCATCAGTTTGAGGATGGTAAGTTGTACTCAGCTTCACCCTTGTGCTCAACTCTTTCTGTAAGCCGCCCCATAAATGGGAGGTGAATCGGCTATCTCGATCTGATACTATGGACAACGGTATACCGTGCCGCGAGACTACTTCATCGATGTATAATCTGGCAAGCTTATCCATTGGCAATGATTCACGCATAGCCAAGAAGTGAGCGCTCTTGGTTAATCGATCAACCACTACCCATATCGTATCATGGCCCCTTAAAGTCTTCGGCAGTTTGGTCACAAAATCAATTGTGATATGCTCCCACGTCCATTCAGGAATTTCCAAGGATTGAAGGCTACCATAAGGTCATTGGTACTCTGTTTTCACCTGCAAATAAGTCACGCACCTCTCTACATAACGAGCCACATCTAGCTTCATAACTGGCCACCAATATGTCAGTTTCAAGTCCCGATACATCTTGGTGTTGCCTAGATGAATTGAGTATTTGGACTTGTGTGCGGCTTCTAGTAACAGTTTATGATTGCCTCCAATCTTGGGTACCCATATACGCCCTCGAAATAGCTTCAAACCACGGCCATCCTCTATCAACAACATGCGTTGTTTCATCATTACTTCACTCTTGAGATTTCCTTCCAGGAGCGCTTCAGATTGCGCGACCTTCATTCGATCGATCAGACTGGACATTATATCGATCCTGGTGCGCACAGCTTTTGTCCCATTACCGTACTCTTTTCGGCTTAAAGCATCCGCCACTACATTTGCCTTACCCGGTGATATAGCAATTCACAATCGTAGTGCTTGAGTAGCTCACGCCAACGTCGTTGCCTCATGTTTAGTTCTTTTTGATCAAAAATATACTTCAAACTCTCGTGGTCCGTAAAAAGCGTACACTTGGTACCATAAAGGTAATGGCGCCAAAGCTTTAAGGCGAACACTACCGCCGCTAACTCCAAATCGTGGGTAGGATAGTTCTTCTCATGATCCTTGAGTTGTCTTGAGGCGTAGGCAATCACTTTTTCCCTTTGCATCAAGACACAACCCAACCTCATTTTCAAAGCGTCGCTAAAGACTACAAAGTCTTCGGACCCCTTCGGCAGGGAGAGAATCGGGGCTTCACACAACTTCTTTTGGAGAGTTCTGAAGGCATGCTCTTGCTTCTCCGTCTAGATAAACTTCACATTTTTCCTAGTCAAAGCCGTTAACGAGGAAGTAACTTTGGAGAAATCTCCTATAATATCCTACCAGACCCAAGAAGCTACAGATTTCTGAAGGACTCTTTGGTGGTTCCCAGTTCATCATCGCCTCAATCTTGGATGGGTCTACTTCACCCCGTCTCGAGTGACAACATGACCCCAAGAATTGAACATCCTTCAACCAAAAGTCGCACTTGGAGAATTTTGCATACAACTTCTCCTTTCTTAGCATTTCAAGGACCTCCCGAAGGTGTTGTTCATGATCTGATTCGTCCTTAGAATAAATAAGTATGTCGTCAATGAATACAATTACAGACTTGTCGAGGAATGGTCGGCAGACCCGATTCATCAAGTCCATAAATGTTGTTGGTGCATTCATCAAACCGAAGAGCATGACCAAGAATTCATAGTGCCCATAACGTCTCCTAAAAGATGTCTTTGTCACGTCATCTACTTTCACACGTACTTGGTGGTACCCCGAGCGAAGATCGACCTTCGAGACGCAACTTGCTACCTGAAGTTGGTCGAAAAGGTCGTCGATCCTGGAGAGAGGATATTTGTTCTTTACAGTTGCCTTGTTGAGTCCTCGGTAGTCAATACACATCCTCATGGGCCGTCCTTCTTCTTTACAAATAAGACCGGAGCTCCCCACGGTGACGAACTCGGTCTAACGAATCCTTTCTCAAGAAGGTCTTGCAACTGAGACATCAATTCTTGCATCTCGGAAGGGGCCAGACGGTAAGGTGATTTAGCAATTGGAGCGGTTCCCGGAATAAGGTCAATTTGGAACTCCATTTGTCTAACGGATGGTAAACCGGGCAAGTCTTCCGGAAATACGTCAGGAAATTCTCTAACCACCTTCACGTCTTCAATTTTCCTTATCTCTAGCTTGGTGTCCAACACATACGCAATGAATGAGGAGCATCCCTTAGCTAGGCACTTACGTGCCTTCGCCATAGATAAAAGTACTACATTCCCTTTCCTTCATTCTCCATAAACTAGCACTGCGTCCCCGCTTGTCAAAGGAATTCGGATCAGCTTTTTAGAGCATAAGATTTCCGCTTGATTCTTTATCAACTAATCCATCCCAATAATGACATCGAATCCGCCTATAGCCATGGGTATGAGATCCACCCGAAATTCCTTTCCTTCAATTCCCAACACACAATTTCTAACAATCTCACGTACTAGGACTTGACTACCATTTGTTATCTCTATGAGCAATGCTTTTTCTAGCATGCTACGAGACGTATGCAATTGCTGATAGAATGCAGTGGACATAAAAGAACATGAAGCACCTGAATCAAAAAGTACGTGAGCAGGTACGGAGTTAATAAAGAACGTACCCGACACTACATCTGTCGACGCCTTAGCTTCTTCTCTCGACATCTGAAAGGCTCGACCGGTTGCTTTCGGGGCGCTCTCCTTTCTTCCTTGACTCCCGTTTGTTTTCAACTTTTGGCAATCATTCTTGAAGTGACCCGACTCTCCACATCTAAAACATATGGGTCATTTGATAGGACACTCATTTCACGTGTGGCCTGGCTTCCCACATTTAAAACATTTTGCGGGAGTAGAGTTGGTGGTGCATGGGCCGTGGTGTTTAGTGCGGCATTTGGAACACCACTTAGCCTCATGATAGGATCGATTAACTCAGTTTTGGATATTAATCACTTACTCTGGATGATCTATTTGACAGTATTAGTGCAGCAGAAGCAATAAGAACAAGCAGAATAATAATCAATGAAGAACACCGTTGAATAATGAAGAACACGAGAGAGAAGCTTCAAATGATTTTCAATTGTTTGAAAATGTTTACAATACGATATGGAAGCACACTGAATTACAAAGGCCTAAGCTGCTATTTATACTCGTTCCTAACGGCTTTTCTGACATGACCTAGACGTACAAATTAATCTAAGTCGTTCAAATAAAGCAGATTACAAACAGTCACGTGATAAGCACGAGCAGCTAACTAACCTAAGTAAAACAGTAAAGAAGTTCTTCACAGAAGATAAAAATGCAGACCCTCTGTGAGCCAT